TTAAAGAAATCCTTGCAGTAAAAAGAGGAATTGAAACATTCCAATTTCATCTAATAGGACATTCTTTTCTAGAAGAGATGGATTTGTCAGCTTTTCCAAATATGTTCAAGTTCAAAAATAAGATTCTTCCAAATCCACAATTGCTCAGATGGGCAAGTTGGTTTTCTCAATGGAATTTTGAGTATAAACATATTCCTGGAAAGAAAATTATCTTAGCTAATATATTTTCTCGAAAGAAATTTTTTGAAGATACTGTTCTTCAAGTTGTTCCGTTATTAGGACCAATAATTAGAATAAAAGATGAATCCAAAGATGTTCCTGATGAAATATTTGACATCATACTCACCAAGACAATGGAAGCAAGAAATGAGATTATGCAACAAAAAATGCATGAAATATTAATCAGAAATCATGGAGAATGTTTTCTAGGAATTCGAGGCCATCCTACATATCCTTTTTTATCTTTATTTCAGACAAGACATTATTATAATATGCCTATAGAAGCTCTTTGTTTTTTCTGGTATCTTACCCAAAACCACCATATTTGCTTTAATTTCCATACAAGAAAACTATTATCCTACCTCGGACACTGTCATTTCCTACAATGGAATAATTATATCCACCCCAATCCCAGAGCTTTCAACTTTTACATATTCCATTTAAAGCATTACCATTATAATCAATGGATTGAATCTTTCAGTTATTATCACAGACCCTATATCTTTATAGCCTTTCACGTAGACCTTCGATCTCAAATTTATCCTGAACATACTTTCATTACCCAACACCCTCATATTCAGACCATTGGATGGTATGATTCTAATCTCTTAAATTGTTGGTTATTTCAAACGGAGCTATGGAAAGAATTAAAAATTCTCATGTGCTACATTAATAGAATCCAGGTAGAATGAATTCCTTTGGATGTCTATAAAGGAACAACAATATGAAATGATGAGACTCCTCGATGAGCTGCCCTGCTACACCAATTGCATATATGGCTTGCTGATCACCGTCCTTCTGCTAAAGCACAGATAGACGGCTCCAGTGATGACACCTATATTGGACCCTCACATAGCCTGTCCAACCATTTTTCACCAAGTTATAATTCTGATGGCTTACCCTTAGATTATGACACGGATTAAAGAATGGAATTATTGTTCAAGATAAGGACGAATTACTGTTTAAGATAAGGACGAATTACTGTTCAAGATAAGGAAGCATCTACTTTTCACTGTAGATGTCGGCCACCTGTCCACTGTTCACTGTAGATGTCGGCCACCTGTCCACTGTTCATCTACTCTGCACTGTACAAAATGGCCACCTGTATCGGCCACCTTTTTAGTTTATTTTGTTTGAATTTCGGGTTTCAAATCCGGTGCCTATAAAATGCCTCATATGTTGTATGTGCAGGCAGGGTGTTGCTTAGAGCCCCTCAGCCTAGATTCCTGCTTTAGTGTGCTTTGTCTTCTTGCTTTCGCTTATGTCTTTCAGCTTGTAAGCTCTTTATTATCTGTTAATACTGCTTTGGTGTGCTTTGATCATTATCTGTTTTCTAGTCTGGACATCTAATACTATTTTGCACATCTAAATCTTCCACATAAAACACCACCCATCTTACATAGACGGTCTCATGCCATCTCCCCCAAGTGAGTCAAGCCCCCAAGTGAAAAAATTTATGTTTCTCTTTTTGAAGGGGTTTAGAAGAAGGTAAAGTGTTATACCCAAACTGCTCACAGAAGTCTCCTAATTCCTTTTTCCTTGTCATCCTTTGTTTTTCTAATTGTCTCCTGAGTTTTAGATCTGCACATAAAGCAAGACCCTCAGTACAGATTTCTGTTGATAATTTTCCTAGGGTATATTGAGAATAAGGAATAATTCCGTTATGCTTATTTTTTAAGTCTTGTTTTGACCTTCTTAGCAAAAATATTTGGAAGGCCAGATATGAACTTTTCCTTTCAGTAATCCGCCTTCTATCCTCTCTAGACAACAGTCTTCAGTAAAAAACATCTTTATACCACTTATAGTGAGAGAGTGTTGGGCAGCAAAGTTCGATAGTAGATCCTTCGATTTAGCAGCTAAGAGAGCCGTACTACCAACAAAATGGAGTGTGATAGTGTAAATAAAAAATGGAGTGTGATAATGTAAATCGATGTATTAACTGCATCGCCTTTATCCACTACTGTTTCCTGGCCCTATCCTGGACTAATTTCAGTTTTAACCACCCTCTGCTTAGTGGCGTTAAGGATTTGGTTTTTAGTAGATTTGTCCATATGGAAATCCCACCAGCCCTTAAGCCATCCTGTAAATCCACATATAATGGCTTTGGCTATTTCATGATCTTTATTGCCGCTAGCCTACATTGTCATATGCTTCATTAAGTCAAGAATTTGGTGATCCGACATATCGTCTATGTTCCAATTAACAATAGACCTGCAGGAATAAGATACAGAACTAGCAATAAGATCTTCTTCTATTTGAAGATCTACTGGAGTAGGTCGGGGATAGTACATTCTAGTCTGGGAAACTGGTCTAGTTTTTCTTCCATAGTCTAACCTGTTGAGATCTAAGCTTTCAAATTTAAAGGCTTCTTCTATTTTTGCAATTTCCTTATTAGAATAATTTTGATCTTCTTGTAAAACTTGTACATCACTAATAATAGGAGATTTTTCTTTTATTTTATCATCAATATTCAATTTTGCAAGTCTTTTAACTAATTCATCCACAAGTTCCTTATTATCATCTTTTTTCTTTATTCGTTGTAGGCTAAATTTTCCTGCTTCTGTACTGGGTGGAGGTTTAAACAACACAGCTTCTCTGTGGTTTTCCTTTCTCTTTTCCTGCTGGGTGGTTTTTAGGTTGTTCAACATATTCTCAATCCTAGTAGTTTGTTTACCCATGGTTTGAAGGGCAAGATTTGTATAGTTATTTTGTTCTATGATATGTGGTATTTTATGATATGTGGTATACCCTCGAGTTTGACCATTTGGTTGTCTATCTCTTTAGGTCCTAATTTGAAGGGTGAGGCCTTAGTTTCTAATTTTTCACCTTTTAATTGTAAACTAGTTTCAGGGGGGTGGATAAACTCAACAGTTTCACCTTTAACTGTATAAAGGTTTGGAATGGTTTTTCAGCCATATTTATTCCGTCTTTTGAGAAATCTGGGATTTTCATTCCCCTGGACTTTAAGATATATCTAAGCCATTTGAAAAACTTCACATTAGTTTTATGTTGCAGCATAAAATTATTAAACGTTTTATGAAGTACATTTCTTAGTTCTTCTTTAAATTCTTGAAATAATCACTTCTTGATTTGTCTATTTTCTTTTGCAAGAAAATCTTTTTTATTCGATTCTCTGTCAATGATGAACTCGTCTTGGCATTGGATTGTAAGTAAATCGAAGTCAAAGTCTGACAGAGTAGGTTTTCCTGATCTAGTTTGGGAAGAACTAGGGGTGTTAATTTTATACATGGGATGCCAGACTTGATTTGAAGTTTTTTTAAGTCCTAAAACTATCTTCTCATTGTGTGTCTTCTCATAATCTGTTTGAGGAACAAATGATGTAGAAGACCTGGGTGGAATGTTAGAAGATGGATTAGAAAGGCTAAGTCTAGCTTTTCTAGACGATGCAAACTGAATTTTTATTTCACCGTTAGGATATTCGATAATCTGTTTAGGCTCTTTATTCTCAAGGCCTTTATTTTGGTTATCAGACTGGAGAGACCATCTTTCAGGTAGTTTTACCAGTGTCCATGATACAGTCTTTGGTATGACCAAATTAGATTTTTCCAGGTTTGTTTGAAAAAATATTGTTTGACCTTTAGTGTCCATTTGCCAATCGTTTGGACACAAGATGTTCATGACCTTGTAACAAATTCTATTAACAAAAGCTAAATTCTGAGATCCTGGGTCGATACTAAAACCTTGCATCTTAAGGTTTAAGGTTAAAACTTTCAATAAGTTTGGATCAGATAAGGCTACTGAAAATTTGGAAAGCAATTAAAGTATATAGGGCCGTTATACAAACTTGATTCAACAATTGCTAATAAAGAATCGGTGAATCTCCTATGCTTGTTATCTCTTAAACAGAGTAGAACAGAATTATTTAATCCCGTTTTAGGTAGAGGTTTAACCGCTATTTGAACTAAGCCGATATGCAAATAATTAAAATTCTTTCGTTTATGGTCTTCAATCATTCTTGAAGACAGGAGTTGGAAAGTGTCTTGTGTTTCCATAACTGAAATTGTTTTTTCAATAGTTTTTATTGAAAAACTGCTTTTATAATCAATAATCCCTTTCCTATAAATATGTGTTATAGGAACCTTTGGGATGTTCCAATTTTGAATTTGTTTTTCAATATTATCGATAATAACTTCTTCTTTATTATTAACATGAAGTGTGCTAGTAGAAGCCGTTCTAGTGGATAGGGTTCGAATAAAATTTTCCATTTAAAATTATAGTTGTGATCCTAGTCAACTGGAAACAGTCCCTACACTTTTCTCCCGTCCTGGCTTAAGCGATCTTTGGGTCACAGCGACTTGTAGATCGGACTACCGTCTTAAGTTAGCAAATTTTGTTAATCACTGTGGAAACCTGGCTTAAACATGGCTCTGATACCATCCATTTGCCGAGGGTT